CGGTGGCCTGGGAAAACCGTGATAAAGATACGGCGGTTCTGCCTGCCCCAGCCCCCGCTCCATCACCCGCTCCGTTACTTGCTCCGTCACCCGACGTCAATCGCCCTCTATCAGCCAGTCAAGGCTCCAACACCTCTGCTGAGGGGAGTTGTCGCTCGTTGGCATCTTCCGCTCGTTCAGATGCTCCTTCTCCTGCTACTCCTCTTCACGGATTCCGTCAGCAGTCTTTCTTGGAATCCGTTTCCAAGAGACAACAGTTTGCGAGCACGCACCCGACGGTGCAGAAGCTGAACGTCCTCCTGTCCAAGTTGCTGGTGCTGCAGTCCCTCCCCTTTCCAAGTGGTGGACTCAGCACCTTTCCGAGAAATGATGGCTTGTGCCGAGCCGCGGTGGAGAGTGCCAAGCCGGCATTTCTTCGCCAAAAAGGCAGTGCCAGCCCTGCATTCACATGTAGAAGAGATGGTGGGCCAGTCTTTGAGCATGTCGGTCTCTGCCAAAGTGCACGGCAGCGCCGACGTGTGGAGCTGTAACTACGGTCAGGGACAGTACATGTCATTTACGGCCCACTGGGTGAACGTGGTGCCGGCACAGCCGCACCAGCAACTTGGACAGGTCACGCCGCTTTTGCCTCCACGTTTGCACGTCCTTGGTCCAGCAAAGATGTCCGCCTCTACCACCTCTTCTTCCGCCGTGTCCTCAGCCGCCACCCCCGTGCCAAGTCCCATTACCCGACCGGCATATCACATGTGCAGGGCGCAACGGTGTCACGCTGTGCTGCACCTGGTATGCCTTGGCGAACGTAGTCACACAGGGGAGGAACTTCTGAGTGTAATGAACAGAGAAATCGACAGATGGCTGTCTCCGCGCAAACTGAAAATCGGAACCATGTTGACCGACAACGGAAAGAACATGGTGTCTGCTCTGCGTCAAGGAAGGTTGTGCCATGCGCCATGCATGGCTCACGTGTTCAATCTGGTTGTCAAGCGGTTCCTAAAATCCACCATCCCACTGCAAGACATCCTTAAAATGTCACGTAAACTTTGCATGCATTTCAGCCATTCCTACACCGCAAAGCACACCCTCCTTGAGCTGCAGCGGCAGAACGGAATTCCACAGCATCGCCTGATCTGCGACGTTGCAACAAGGTGGAATTCAACCCTACATATGTTAGACCGCCTTTACGAACAGCGAAAGGCCATCACCGATTTCCTGATGTTACAAGCGGATAAAGGTACTCCCCTGTGTAACTTAGATGTCAGCCATTGGCAGCTCATGCGTGACACCTGCCGCTTGCTCAGGCCCTTTGAGGAGGCCACGCTATTCGTGAGTCGGCAGGACTATGGGATGAACGACGTCATTCCTCTGTTGCACGTCCTGGAACAAATGCTGTTAACAATGGCTGGTCAGGGTGCGGTAGACGTGGCGCACAGATCTCAACGCCACATGACCCCTGTGGGGGCAGGACAGGAAGAAGAGGAGGAGGTAGAGGAGGACATTGGTGCTCAGGAATTATTGAGTGAAATGGGTGGTTTTTCCACTCAGCGGACAGGAGTGGAGGAGCAGGAGCATCTGGTAGAGGAGGAGGAGGAGACAGAGGACCCAGACGCACCGTGGCAGTATGCTGTGGAGATGGAGGCAGGGAGTCCCTCGCATTCCTTGGCACAAATGGCCCATAGCATGCTCGGTTGCTTGCGTAGCGACAGCCGAATAATAACCATCAGACAGAGGGATGACTTTTGGCTGTCCACCTTGTTGGACCCTCGCTACCGTTCAAAAATGGTGGCCTTTTTCACACCTGCTGAGAGGGAGGCCAAAATAAAGTACTATAAAAACCACCTATGTAGTCAGTTGGTCTCTGCCTTTCTGCGCCAACGTCCATCCTCAGACACTGTGGGCCCTGTGCTCGCGTTCCGCTGCCATGGCAGCAGGGGGGGGGTGGGGTGGTAGGAGCAGTGGCAGCTCCACCAGCAGCGGCTGCCTCAGTCTGCAGTCGATGATGAGTAGCTTTCTTCACCAGCGCAGTGAGGAAACTACTAACCAGCCGCAGCAGCAGCAGCATCAGGTGGACCTGGAGCAGGACCTCAAACAACAGGCTTGGGCCTACTTGGACAGCACCCTGCCAACCGAGGTAGACAATCCCCTTGACTACTGGGCAACGAAACTTGACCTTTGGCCCCAACTAGCTGAATTTGCCCTTGAAAGGCTGTCATGCCCGGCCAGTAGCGTGGCATCGGAGCGCGTGTTTAGTGCGGCAGGAGGTATTGTAACTCCGCGGAGGACACGACTGTCCACCCAAAGTGTGGAGAGACTCACGTTTGTAAAAATGAATCAGGCGTGGATTAGTCTGGATTTCAAACCACCAGTTCCTGACACAACTGACCTAATAACCTAGCCGTTCAGGCCGCTCCCTGAACACCTCGGGAATTGCTTTGTATATCTGTCGCCTTAGAGGCCGCTGTCTGAACAGCTCATGAATTGCTTTCTATATGTGTCGCCTTTGAGGCCGCTGGCTGGCTGGACAGCTGATGAATTGATTTGTATATATGTACTTATTGTCCGCTGTCCGGACAGCTCATGAATTACTTTTTGTATATAGCCTTCCAAACCACTCTCAGAATAAAGTCATGATATTCATGCTGTGTATAGCCTTATAGGCCAATGGTCAATCAAGTCATGATTGTTATAGTGTGTATAGCCTTATAGGCCGCTGTCTTTACAACTTTATAATTCCATGCAGTATATAGCCCTATCGGCCACTTTCTGGCATCCAGTTGCTGTAGCCCCCATCACCACACTGTGCCACGGGCCCCTGTACCGCCTTCTCATACTGCTGCCAGATCCATCCTCTGCCATGTGTGTCTTTGTCGTCTGCTCACGCTGCTGGGTTCCAGTTTTAAACCTAGGCCTGTGTATGGCTTCCGAATACTGCTGCCTCCACCGCCACCCTGCGCCATGTGCCTCTGTCGTCTGCTCACGCTGCTGACGGCTTCCGCTTTTTAACCTAGGCCTGTGTATGGCTTCCGAATACTGCTGCCTCCACCGCCACCCTGCGCCATGTGCCTCTGTCGTCTGCTCACGCTGCTGACGGCTTCCGCTTTTTAACCGAGGCCTGTGTTTGGCTTCCGAATACTGCTGCATCCACCGCCACCCTGCGCCATGTGTCTCTGTCGTCTGCTCACGCTGCTGACGGCTTCCGCTTTTTAACCGAGGCCTGTGTTTGGCTTCACCCAAGAATACTGCTGCATCCACCGCCACCCTGCGCCATGTGTCTCTGTCGTCTGCTCACGCTGCTGACGGCTTCCGCTTTTTAACCTAGGCCTGTGTATGGCTTCCGAATACTGCTGCCTCCACCGCCACCCTGCGCCATGTGCCACTTTCAGGTCTCCTTACACTGTTGGTGGGTTCCTTTTGTGATAGGGTGCTGTATGGCCTTCCATTGCTGCTGCCTCCACCGCCACCCTGCGCCATGTGCCTCTGTCGTCTGCTCACGCTGCTGACGGCTTCCGCTTTTTAACCGAGGCCTGTGTTTGGCTTCCGAATACTGCTGCATCCACCGCCACCCTGCGCCATGTGTCTCTGTCATCTGCTCACGCTGCTGACGGCTTCCGCTTTTTAACCTAGGCCTGTGTATGGCTTCCGAATACTGCTGCCTCCACCGCCACCCTGCGCCATGTGCCTCTGTCGTCTGCTCACGCTGCTGACGGCTTTCCCGCTTTTTAACCGAGGCCTGTGTTTGGCTTCCGAATACTGCTGCATCCACCGCCACCCTGCGCCATGTGTTTCTGTCGTCTGCTCACGCTGCTGACGGCTTCCGCTTTTTAACCTAGGCCTGTGTATGGCTTCCGAATACTGCTGCCTCCACCGCCACCCTGCGCCATGTGCCTCTGTCGTCTGCTCACGCTGCTGACGGCTTCCGCTTTTTAAACTAGTCCTGTGTATGTCTTCCGAATACTGCTGCCTCCACCGCCACCCTGCGCCATGTGCCACTTTCAGGTCTCCTTACACTGTTGGTGGGTTCCATTTTTGTGATAGGGTGCTGTATGGCCTTCCATTGCTGCTGCCTCCACCGCCACCCTGCGCCATGTGCCTCTGTCGTCTGCTCACGCAGCTGACGGCTTCCGCTTTTTAACCGAGGCCTGTGTTTGGCTTCCGAATACTGCTGCATCCACCGCCACCCTGCGCCATGTGTCTCTGTCGTCTGCTCACGCTGCTGACGGCTTCCGCTTTTTAACCTAGGCCTGTGTATGGCTTCCGAATACTGCTGCCTCCACCGCCACCCTGCGCCATGTGCCTCTGTCGTCTGCTCACGCTGCTGACGGCTTCCGCTTTTTAAACTAGTCCTGTGTATGTCTTCCGAATACTGCTGCCTCCACCGCCACCCTGCGCCATGTGCCACTTTCAGGTCTCCTTACACTGTTGGTGGGTTCCATTTTGTGATAGGGTGCTGTATGGCCTTCCATTGCTGCTGCCTCCACCGCCACCCTGCGCCATGTGCCTCTGTCGTCTGCTCACGCTGCTGACGGCTTCCGCTTTTTAACCGAGGCCTGTGTTTGGCTTCCGAATACTGCTGCATCCACCGCCACCCTGCGCCATGTGTCTGTCGTCTGCTCACGCTGCTGACGGCTTCCGCTTTTTAACCTAGGCCTGTGTATGGCCTTCAATTGAAGCTGCTTCTGCTCTGCCACTCTGCCATTGGACTCTTGATAGTCGTCTCCCCACGCTGCTGCTGGGGGGACTTTTTAACATAGGCCTCTGTATGGCCTTCAATTTTAGCTGCTTACGCTCCGCCACTCTGCCATGGGCCCCTGTACCGCCTCCTCATGCTGCTGCCAGGCCCGTAATCTGCCATGGGCCCCCGTACCGACTCCTCATGCTGCTGCCAGGCCCGTAATCTGTCATGGGCCCCTGTACCGCCTCCTCATGCTGCTGCCAGGTCCAGAATGTGTCATGGGTCCCTGTACGGCCTCCCATTGCTGCTGTCTCCATCGCCACACTCTGCCATGTGCCACTTTCAGGTCTCCTCACACTGCTGGTGGGTTCCATTTTGTCATAGGGTGCTGTATGGCCTCCCATTGCTGCTGCCTCCACCGCCACACTGTGGCTCCACACTCTGGTTTTGGCCCCGTGACTGCCCAAATGAGTGAAGTGTGCGGTGATTCTAAGATCGACGGCACTCATCTGCATGTCATACTGACTGACAGTATTATTTCTCTTCCCCAGCAGACTCCAATTAAAGGTACAGTGTTCTGCACTAATATAAAGGCTCTCTGAAGCCTAGAAACACCCTTTTTATAAGTTAAATTCGCAGCGAATATATTCGGCTCGAAGCAAATTTTTTTCCGCGAATTCGGCGAATCAGCCGAACCGAATTTTTGAATAATTCGCTCATCTCTAGTTGCCAGGTGTGCAAGAAGTCACCGCAATAACAGAGTAGGGAGAATAGCTTGTATTACAGGTAACGAAGCATCCTCACACAGCATAACAAGGGCACACCAGGATAGCCTTGTGACATTTCAGGACTGCATGAGGAGAGAGTGACAAGAATAAAAAGGAGAATACATGAAAATGGACAAAAAGAAGAAGAAAGCAATGTAACCTTCCTCACCAGCCGCTTCTCTGCGTCGTAGGTTATGTTCATTGGAGTCCAGCCATTCAGAGGCATCTAAGGCTATAACAAATAAGTGGGCCTGCCCATTAGCAGTCATCCTTAGGCGAGCCGTGTAAAGCATAGTGTAGGTCATTTCAAGTCATTGTAAGAGCTTCTTCACCTCTGAAAATCTTGCTTGCTTCTTTTGGACTTCTGCAGAGATTTCAGGAATAGACCTTCCCCCCGTTATATAGAGTATTGGGTTTATTGCAGGCCAGGCATAGGACAATCTCAAGATTTCTATCATTTAGAAGTTGGGTTAGGATAGCCCAAGGTTGTGAGCCACGTGGTAGAGGCCGTGGGGCTCGGTGTGCTCTTTCCACCGTGAAGAGCAGAATGAAGGAATCTTTGCAGAATAGTTCCAGCAGACATCACTCCATAAAGTCTGTGAGGTCCCTGCCCTCAGTGCATTCCACAAGGCCCACTATGAGAATATTATTGTGGCGGAGATGGTTCTTTATATTGCCTGCCTTGTTGGTATTAGCCTCCGCCATCTGGGAGGTGGAGCGGAGGTCTCTGGTGAGAAAAAGGAGCTTATTCTTGATGTCACTGATGCGCCCCTCTGCCACCGTGGTGCGCACCCTGATTTTCTCTATGTCTTCGTGAATGAAGGAGACTTCCTCTCTCAGGCCGCCAAAGGGCTTCCGGAGTGTGCCGACTGAGGAGGCACACTTACTGACTGCTTTTAGGATTTCACTGAGTGCAGGTTGTGCCTTGTCCCCTTCATCCTGTTCCTGTGTGAGATGGGGAAACAGCTCTCATTGTTTGAACACTGTTTGTGTGGAGTAAATTAAATGTTCTGGACTGACACTCAGAGGTTTAGCCACAAGATGCCACTGTTTTCCAAACACAGCCTCAGACTGTATAGATATTTCTATATTCATGAAGAGGTGGGGTTTTTCACTCAAGTTTAGAGAACAGGAAGAGGTGAGAGAGAGAGGAGCCATGTTTGGAGGATGGTGAATGAAGGAGCAGTGTGAGCAGAGAATCTCGTGGCATCCAGGTGTGAGAGCATCCCTCAGTAACCAAAGCTGCAGCTAAGTGAAGCTGATCGTGTCCAAGACCCTGATCCTGTTCAGAGAAAGGAATATTGCTGCCAGGAATGCTGATGAGAGCAGAGGAACAAAGCAACATACACTGCGATACCTCATGCTTGTTGGAGAGACATTTGTTCTGTTCAGAGTCACCAGTGGATGCAAAGCAGACCCGGGTCGGTAAGATCGTGCACGCACTTCATTTCAGTGTTGGCGCCTAGAGACTGAGACCAGGCCTATAGTTAGTTAGGGTCTCTGTTTGTGTCAGGCCACAAGTGTTATTACTGATCATTGGAACGTAAAGCGACATTTCACATTGGAGAGCTGATAAAAAAAAACACAAACTCAAGCCAGACTGGCGTTTTGCTCAGAAGGAATACTCAGGCACGTGCTAAAGGACCAGTTATGGGAGGGAGAATACTGTAGATTTGTGTAAGATTGTAAGCTGTTGTGCTGCACCGCAGGCTAGCCCATACCTTACACCCATACACTGATTCCTGCTCTTTTAGGGTAATAACAGGTAAGGTGTGGCAGCTTAGTTGTCCCTGCCAGTAGGTAAATTACTTCACTTTCTACCTTCATCCATCAGAAGGCATCGTGCCGTGCAGCACAAGGGTCTCAGCCTTTGGGCTGGGTGTATGTAAATTTATTGTATGTTTCCAGCACTTGTGGTTGTGTTTATTTGCCACATCTAAGTAAAATTCTGTTGTGGAAAAAGCTGGTGTTGGGGTTGCTTTCCTCGTCCATGACTTCACTGTATCGTGGGGGGAGCCCACCCCGGTACACGGCTTACACAGGAAGGATGAAATCTTCAATCCTGGGTCCAGGTTTTGTGAGTATCCAGAACACTAATTGGTCAGGTGTGTGCTGGGCTTTTAGTATTGACCTGACTATGGTTCTGGGCTCCACCCCAATAGACAGGAGTCTTTGCCCAGAAGTCAGGAGGGCTCCACCTAGGAAAGGTGGAAGCCAGAGCAGCAAGTGGCTGCTACCAAATGGACAGTGCTGGTGAGAAAACAGTCTGCAGGAGAAAGATGATAGCCTGAAGTGGAAGGCCAGAGTGGCAGTGTTGTCTGTATAAACCAGGGGGTTAATGTCTATTTCTTTGCAAGAGTAAAATGCTGAAAACCCCTGCATGGGAAACCCTCTGAGTTTGATTTATGGAATTTTCTTTTTAATAACATTGGGCAAGAAAAACCCTTAAAAAGAAGAAAGCGAGTGGTGGTGTCCCTTTTAAATCTCTACCATTTAATGCTAGTTCTCACACCCCATTAGGGAGGTTCACCCTCTCTACTTGTCCTGTTTACCATTATCATTGAAAGTGAAAGTAAAAGGGGGGGATCTTCCACTGGGAACACTAGTTCTGGTGACCTGGGGGTCCCCAAGAAATTCCCTTAAATTGCAGGGATGTCCTCTTACTTCCTGTTTGGCTACGGGACAGGAAGTAAAGGGAAATCTCTGCAATGGGGCACAGATGGCAAAAAAAAAAAAAATCAGACGGGGTGAGAACCCTCCCTTGCTCTATCCAAAAAAAAAAAAGTTTTGCCTATAGTTCTACTTTAAAAAGTGTTAACTGGAGTTTGGCTTTAATTTGTTAGTGTATCTAAATCTGCTAGTCCATCTAACACTCCCCCCCCCCCCAGAATGACAATGGTGCTGTCCAAAAGTCCCTGTGCTCATTCATCCAGAGTGGGGGCAATCCAATACAGAAGGTGTGTTACTGCTCAGATCACCAGGTGCAAAAAGAGGAAAAAAGCCTAAAAAAAGAAAACTACCACAGCCACCACATTTAAGGACTGGTAAGCCACAATTTATTATATTTTTGATTTTGGGTTTAATACCGCTTTAACCATACTTCATGCTGTTTATACACACATAGGCACAACAACCATTCTTATATATTATACTATGATTTCTACTAGTTATACCACTAGATGACAGTATCATATTTAAAGGGGAACTAAACCCTCCTATCCTTTTCAGCCAAGGAAGCTGCCATCTTAGCCTCTGTTTGATCTGCAACTGCTATGGTGCTGCACATGTGATCAGTTATGACACAGCCATTTGATGGTTTGACAGTTTTATTAAGAGCACAAGCAACTGTAACAATTAGCATTAATGGCAAGCCTGGAATGTACCGTATTTTTCGCTCCATAAGACGCACCGGACCATAAGACGCACCTAGGTTTTAGAGGCAGAAAAAACAGGAAAAAAAAAATTCTGAACTAATGGACTGCAGACACAGTACAGGAGATGACCAGAGACTGCGGACAGCACAGGGATGACCAGAGACTGCGGACAGCACAGGGATGACCAGAGACTGCGGACAGCACAGGGATGACCAGAGACTGCGGACAGCACAGGGATGACCCGAGACTGCGGACAGCACAGGGATGACCAGAGACTGCGGACAGCACAGGGATGACCAGAGACTGCGGACAGCACAGGGATGACCAGAGGCTGCGGACAGCACAGGGATGACCAGAGGCTGCGGACAGGCACAGGGATGACCAGAGGCTGCGGACAGCACAGGGATGACCAGTAGAGATGAGCGAATCGAAGTAGGTGAAGTGGAATTCGTTTCGAATATTAGGAAAATTTCGATTCGCGTCGAATCCGAAAATAAGCAGACTTCGGATGCGCGAATCGAAATTTTTCCTAAAATGGGCGGCGACATGTGCGGCGACGGAGCGGGGATGTCTGGGAAGGCGCGCAGACAAGGCGCGCTGACCCATAATGCATTCATTCATGACATGTGATCGCATTAGCCAATCAGCAGCCAGCCAGCACAGTGTAATGGTCGAGCTATAAATGGCGGCCATTTTAGAATTCTCCATTTGCCTCCAGTCATTCAACAGAGGCAGACCTGGCTGTATGCAGGGAGAGAGTTAGGGACAGAGAAACGTTACTTAGGGACACAGAAACGTTAGTTAGGGCCACAGAATCGTTACTTAGGGCCACAGAAACGTTACTTAGGGCCACAGAATCGTTAGTTAGGGCCACAGAAACGTTACTTAGGGACAGACACAGAATTGTTACTGAGGGACACAGATTTGTTACTGAGGGCCACAGAATCATTACTTAGGGCCACAGAAACGTTACTTAGGGCCACAGAAACGTTACTTAGGGATACAGAAACGTTACTTAGGGCCACAGAATTGTTACTTAGGGACAGACACAGAATTGTTATTGAGGGACACAGAATTGTTACTGAGGGACACAGAACCGTTACTTAGGGCCACAGAAACGTTACTTAGGGCCACAAATTGTTACTTAGGGACAGACACAGAAATTGTTACTGAGGGACACAGATTTGTTACTGAGGGCCACAGAAACGTTACTTAGGGCCACAGAAACGTTACTTAGGGACACA